GAAATAATCCGGAATGGTCCAATATATTGGGGACCCAATTTCCCCCTCTTCCGGAAGCGAATCACACCTTTCCAAGGTGAGACTTTCAGCAACATCACGTCATCGACCTGAAATTCCAACTCAGATCAGCGTCGGTCGACCTAACTTTTCTGCCAACTCTGAGCAGTCTGCAACCTCTGCCTAATCTGCTGAATCATCTCTATAGTCTGAAGAACCACCTCGGTCCGACCCATGACTCTGTGACCAACCTCGCCCCAACAGACTGGGGTATGACATCTCCGCCCATACAAAAGCTCAAAAGGCGGAGCACCAATGATGGAGTGGAAACTGTTGTTGTAAGAGAACTCTGCAAGAGGTAGGTAGGAGTCCCGACTCCCACCAAAATCAATAACGCATGCACGTAACATATCCTCGAGGGTCTAAATGGTCCCCTCACTCTGGCCTTCGGTCTGCGGATGATAAGTTTTGCTGAAATGCAGCCTCGTGCCTAGTTCCTCGTGGAACTTCTACCAAAAAAGGGAGGTGAATCGAACATCACAGTCTGAAACAATGGAGACCGGAATTCCATGGCGAGCAACGATCTCGCGAATATACACATCGGCCAACTTCTCGGCCGACGAGCTCTCCCGAATCGCCAGAAAATGAGCACTCTTGGTCAATCGATCCACGATGACCCAAATAGCATCAAAAACGTTTGTCGTCTTCAGAAACTTGGTGATGAAATCCATCTATATCTGCTCCTATTTCCACATGGGAACCTCCAGAGGCTGCAACTTGCCATGCGGCCTCTAATGCTCGGCCTTGACCATCCTGCAGGTCAAGCACCTCTCAACGTACCAAGCGATCTCTCTCTTCATGCATGGCCACCAATAACTCAAACGCAGATCCCGATACATCTTGGTGGCCCCTAGATGAATAGAAAAACGAGACTGTCCAGAACAAACCTGGTGATCTCACCCCTGATCCTCTCATTCTTCCAATTTTCTTCCCGCACACCCTCAGCCTGGGCCTCTCTAATTAACCCCACGAGCGGAGAATCCACAAATATCCTTATACATGACACCCCAACAGAAGGTCCAGCCGACTTGCGGCTCAAGGCATCCGCCACCACATTCGCTTTACCCGGATGGTAAAGGATCTCGCAGTCATAATCCTTGACTACGTCCAGCCACCTGCGCTGCCTCATGTTCAGGTTTGGCTGATCCATAATATGCCTCAAATTCTTGTGATCCGTGTAGATAGTACAGCGGACCCCATAAAGGTAATGCCTCTAAATTTTGAGGGAAAAACCACCGCCCCCCAACTCAAGATCATGTGTTGGACATCTCATCTCATGCGGCTTCAGCTGCCGCGAAGCATAAGCTATCACTCATACTCTCTGCATGAGAACTGCCCCCAACCCGGTGATGGACGCATCACAGAAAACCACAAAATCTTCAACTCCCTCAGGGAGGGTCAAAACTGGGGCCTCGCAAAGTCTCTGCCGAAGGGTCTCAAATGTTGACTGTTGCTCAAGGCCCCACCGAAAATCCACCCCCTTCCTCGTCAGACGAGTGAGAGGTACCACAATCTTAGAGAAATCCCGAATAAATCTCCGGTAGTACCCTGCCAAACCCAATAAACTCCTGATATCCAAGGGAGATTTCAGAACCTCCCACCGCATCACCGCCACGATTTTGTCCGGGTCGACCAAAATCCCATCCTGGTTAACGAGGTGTCCAAGGAACTGAACCTATCGCAACCAAAACTCACATTTCAAGAACTTATCATAAAGTCGTTCTCGCCTCAAAACCTCCAGAATCTCACGAAGATGCTCCTCATGATGCTCTCTGGTCTTGGAATACACCAAGATATCATCAATAAACATGATAACCGAGCGATCGAGTATCGGCCTGCATACCCGATTCATCAAATCCATAAATACCGCATGCGCATTGGTGAGCCTGAATGGCATCACCACGAACTCGTAATACCCATAACGAGTTCGGAACGCAGTCTTCTCCACGTCCTCCTCCCTCACCCTGACCTGATGGTACCCAGACCTCAAGTCAATCTTGGAGAACCAAAATACTCCCTGCAACTGTTCAAAGAGATCATCAATCTGCAGAAGGGGATAACGGTTCTTCACCATTAACTTGTTCAACTCCTGATAATCGATACACATCCGGTGTGAACCATCCTTCTTCTTGACAAATAGAATCGGTTCTCCCTACGGAGAACTGCTCGGACGGATGAACTGCTTCCCTAGCAGCTCCTACAGCTGAGATGACAGCTCCCGCATCTCAGGCGGTGCCAATCGGTACGACGCCTTGGCAATAGGGGCCGCACCTGGCACAAGGTCAATCCTGAACTCGACCTGCCTCTCAGGAGGCACACCGGGTAACTCCTCCGGGAATACATCAGCAAACTCCCTGACAACTGGAACATCAGCAACCGACACTTGATCCCCAACCCGCGTATCCACTACATAAGCCAAATAACCTGTACACCCATGCTGAATATACTGTCGATCCCTGGCTGCCGAACAAAACCTTGAACCCAACATTGTGCCCTCTCTTTAAATAACCATTTCTACCCCACTTGGGGTTCGAACTACCACACGTTGACCCCTCGTAGTCGATCATGGCACCGAAGCGGCTCAGCCAATCCATACACACAATCACACAGACATCCCCCATGGGAATAGGAATCAAATCGATCGGAAAGGATACCCCGAAGATCTCCAGAACGCAACTTCGATAAACCGAAGAAGCATAAATCCCGTGTTCGTTGGCGATAGAATCTCACAACGAACACTCTAACTCCCCTATGGGCAAATCAAACTCCCTACTAAAGGACTGAGAAACAAAGGATCGACTCGCACCCGAGTCGAACAACACTAAAGCAGGCAAGGAGTTCACTGGGAATGTACCTACCAAAGGTACAAATATAAGAGCATAAAACAAACATAATCGATAAGATAAGGGATAGAAACATACCAGTCACAACATCCGGTGCTGCCCTGGCCTCCTCGGCAGTAAGTTGGAAAGCGCGACCTCGAGCCCTCGGGAGCTCTGCTCTGCCCTGACTCCCGTCGATGATCCTCAAAGTAGCCGACACTGGAGCCTGCGCCGGTCTGGCAGTGAGCGATTGACAGTTAGCCTTCACATGGCTAACCTAGTCGCAATGATAACAAATCTTGGAACTGAGTGTTGGAGCCTGCTGGCGGAAATCCCTCGCCATGTGACCCTGCCGACCATAATTGTGGCACCCGGATGATGAACGAAAAGCACCCTCATGCGTCTTGCCGCACTTGCCACAAGTGCGGCCCTTCCGACCCTCAGATATAACATCAGCGGTCTTAAACCGCTTTGGCATAGGTTGCTTTACATCGGGGCTGGCCTCTGCTCTCTCGTTTGCTGATCAATCTTAATCTCACGCCGCCTGGCGACCTCCTGCATCTCTAACAATGAACCATGGCGTTGTATGAAAACAAACTGCCTGATCTCCGTCTTGAGCATGCTCAAGTAACGGGTCATATGAGCCTGCTCGGATGCAGCAAACTCAGGGTAGAACATAGCTATCTCCGTGAACATCTTGGTGATCTCCGTCACCGTATCAGAACCCTGTCTCAAATCCAGATACTCATGCGCTAATCTCTCACGCTCCACCAGCGAAACATATCAGGAGCGAAACATCTCTGAAAGCTGTTCCCAAGACACATCAACTCTCTGCTTAACATAATAAGAACTAGTAGCGAGCCTCCACCAATCCTTCGCTCTGGACCTCAGAAGGTTCATAGCGCACCTGACCTTCTGGTCAGCAGGGCATAAACAAGTGAAGAAACATCCCTCCTATGATCAGGTCCTGAACTCCATCGAAGGCCCACCCTGACTGCCAGCTCCTGATCCCGACCCGGATCCGATCTTAACTTGTCTCGTAGTCACCATACTGAAAATACACGAGGAAGATATCAGATAATCCACATAACATATCGGGGAACCAACTCCCAACGAAGTCTTAGGGGTTGTGACTTCCTTGCTATGCGTACGAGTCCTATGCTTTTAGTAGTACGGGCCCATAATACCTTCCACACCTACGCGTATTTGTATCAAGGATCATCACAACATCCTAACAATACTCATAAGCATAGTCTAACACTCAATCCTCACTCCATAGAGGAAAGGCTAAACATCTCACGACTGGTCTGCTGACCCCACATGACTCATCCATGAAACTTCTACCAACCCTGCAACACTCGTGTATGCTAGCCATACATAACACTAGACCCTATAGAAATTCGAATATCTGATCCTACCCTAAGCCCTTCATCAAACAATAACATGAAATAAGGCCAAACCAAACATTCTCAGGCTATAAGATCTTAGTTATATATAACCATCATGCATACACTAAGCAACTACAGTAATGATGTCAATTCCATAAAAGAAGGCCCTAGGCTATCATGCATCATATAATCAGGCAATACTATCATGCAATTCCTGAAGATCCCTATCCTATCACTAGCATGTTGTTCTAACATATCATGATATCATAAACAATATGGTATTTTGGGGTCTACTTACTGGCTTCGGCTGATCGTACACATCGTATCCTCCTTGAGTATTTTGAAAACCATTTTAAAATCATTTTGAAAATATTTTCCTTAGTTTGAGACTGGATTCACATGAGTGTTCTTCCGATTCACTCAAACCAAGGCTCTGATACCAACTTGTAACATTCATAAAATTTTTGAAAATTTTAAACTTTTAAAACAAACCAAAACCAATATTGTTCACAAATTGTTTTCAAAATAAGTTCCACATCAGAGAAATCCTAAAATCGTAAAGCAAAAACATGAGAAGGTGCACGATCACGCCTTTGCCTTCCCGCGATCCACTGAGGTACCTGAAACACAATCCAAAACTGTAAGCTCAAAACTTAGTGAGTTCCCCCAATTATGATGCATCTCCTTCAAATGCTTCAGGATATTTAGCTCATTTTCCAGTAACAAAACATAGATGAAGGTGTGTGAGGTATGTATGTTTTCTAGTTGTAGGCCAATTATGTGTGTGTGTGTGTGTGTGATTGTTTTAATTTAGTGTGTATATGTATGTGGTTTTATTACAGGAAGCAATATGAGAGAGAGAGAGAGAGAGAGAGAGAGAGAGAGATGTGCCCCCTCTTCTTAAATAAGTATTTAGATTTAGAAAAAATGAAAGAAAAGAAGAAAATAAATACCCGAGAGTATTAAAGTCATTTCAGTTTACCGAGAGACCAAATCCGCAACGAAACTAGGTCAAAATGACCACAAAACCAAAAAAATCAGGGTTTGGACTAAAACCCGAAAAAAATACATACCATAGGAACCATTTTTGCAATTTTGTCATTTTAAAAACACAAAAATGTCTTTATTAATTTTTCAAAATTAAAATTAATCATATAGATATGTGGTAACCACATGGATCAAAAGTGTAATTTACTCTATTTCTTTTTTTAATAACGTGGACAAGGGTGTTCATCTCCACCCGTGGACACCATATCCGTGAAATTGACCAAAATCATTTCAAAAGAATACACACACAAAAGTTAGTGGCTACATTGTACGCTATGCTACTAATTTTGTACTCCACATTTGCTATTTCCAGACTTTAGAACAAGGGGTTAGACAAAAAAACGAGCCACGTCACCCTCACTTCTCGTTTAGCCTGAGATCCCTTTTTGTATTCTCCCAATTACATTTCGAAAGAGGGAGAGAGACGATCTTCTTCAACGCAACCAAAAATTTAGGGTTTCCTGTATTTGCATCGGCTGGTTGCTTTTCATCACTCCATCATCCATCAACAATCTTCAGGTAAGATATCTTTGTTAATATGATCTCTTTTACCGTCAATTTATTCGCTACATCTTGATCTTGTTTCTTTGCGCTTGATCTCGATTTTCAATCTTTTGGTTCTTGTCTGTGCGTTCAGGTTCTCTTTGCTAGTTGCTTTATTATTCATATTTTAGGTATAATGTTATTGTAATTGCTCTCGTTGATGTTTGTATTTGAATTCTCTTGAATGTTTGTGTCGGAATTTTTTGTTTATGTATTCGGATCGTGTACTTGGGTTGAAAATTACTTATATTCGATGCTCTGTAATCTTTGTAAGTGCCAAAAAATTAATAAAATCAAAGTTTGGAAGTTTATTTGTCGTTTGGCTATAGATACGCTTCAGATAATTGCAACCTGTTGTTTCTAGAATATGCACATGCTTCCTTTTCACTTCTATTTTTTGATTTCGTCAGGTAAAATATTATAATACTCCACAGAATAACAAGATCTAGTTGAACCAGATATGTGTGTTTTCTTATGGATATGATTATATGAAATTTAGTTCTTAGTAATTAGCCCACCTCTTATCAATAAGCTGTTACTTTCTTAGTTTATAGTTTCTGAATTCTTGAAGTTTTATGCATGATGTGAACTACCAACAAGGCAACAAGGAACTAATACCATAATCTTTATGTAATCTCTGCATGTCCTTCAAGTGTTACTTGCCATGTGATGAATACATCCATTGCGCAGTTGGTGATTGTTACTTTGCTAGGTGAATCTCATAGAAACTAAGCTACTCTAGTGCTTTTGGAGATTGAAGGAAAGTAAAATATGTAGCTTGAGTTATTATTATTATTATTTTTTTGGGAGTAGGAGTTAGCTTGTCTATAAAGCTTGTGTTTCTATAGTTATTTCAATTGATAACAATGACAAGTTCGTCCTCATGAAATTTTCTCTCATCTTAGTCAATTGATGAACCAAGAACAATGAAGGCAAGATCATCTTCATTGAATCCATATGCAACTTCTTACATTCCACTCTCTAGAAGAGGGCCCACAACAACTCATGAAACCAAAGGCTATGAATCAACATATGTTTCCCCTGCAAACACCACACAAAACCATGGTGCTTCTGAGAGTCCAGATAGCTTGAAACTCAAGAATCATTCTGGTTTTGAGTCTTATGGTTCATCATCACATAGTGCTGAGGTGGCAGGAAAACAGGCCTTGGATATTGATCATGACATGAATTTGGCGTATCTTCAGATGACATTTCCTGGTGTTTCTGATGAGTCTCTTTCAAGTGTCTATATGGCAAACAGAGGTGACATGGAAGCTACAGTTGATATGCTGAATCAACTTGAGGTAAGTTTTATTTAGTGTTTTGTATACAAGAATCAGAGTTGGAATGGAATTGAGCATTATGGAATGTGATTCCTTCCTTCTTTTGGTTTGATTTATATTCCATTTGTTTATGATTCCATTCCATCATACTAAACAAACTATCAGGTAGGTGTTTGGTTTGTAGTAATCGATGAGGGAATGGAATGGAGAATCATGTCGGATTGAAAAAGATCATGTTTTTTTTGCCACAAAGGAATGGAATGGAGTATTCCTCATGTAGTGCAATTCCTTCTCTTGGGGAGGGTGTTTTTTTTTATTAATTCCTTCAAGGAATTGAGGAATAATATATATTATATTAATAAATTACTTGTATCCATATAATTTCCAATAATGTTAATCTTTTAAAAAAAAATTAAAACGTCAACCATTTCTATTATTTTTCAAAATAACTAAATCTATTATTTTTCAAAATAACTAAAATTTGTTTTTTGATTATAATTCTATTTTAAGACTTTATAGTATTTGAGTTTTGTAGATGATAAATAATTCTTTTTTAACTATTTGAAATACATATTGTAATTATTTAATGACATACCTTATTTAGTTACATTTTATTTTTAGAAAATAACATATTATTCTTCATTCATCAATTTAGTTTTATTTAGTTATCTATTTATACAAAACAAACAACATGTTTGAATGACTCAATTGATTCCTTCAAGCCAACCAAACATGACAATGGAATGGAATGATCCATTCCATTCCGTTGTTTATTCCATTCCTTTGTACTCTTGTCAACATGTCTATGCACATTGTATGTTCAATATACATGTTCTTTGTTAGGGATAAATGCCCTCAACTTTGTATTTTTTTTTTCCGAAAAAAAACCCTCAACTTTGTGTTAGGGATAAACCCTCGACTTTTTTAGTTTTTCTCGAAAAAACCCTCACATTTTACAATTCTTTTGGAAAAAAACGAGTAAAAGGGCCAGATCAGAAAAAGTGAAAAAAAATACGAGGCCTTTTTCAGGCAAAAAAATAAATTTGAGGTCTAATCCGGAAAAAACACAAAATATAAGGTCTGTTTTGACATTAATCCTTTTTTCTTTTTCAAAATACAATGTTGTAATAGAAAGAAATGAATTTGAGAAAATAACTCCAATTTGTATAAAAAAAGGTAGGATTTAATGAGGAAAGTAAAAAACAATATAGCTTCCTTGATTAAGCCATGTCCTAGTTAAGTCCATTAAGTAAGAAAGTATGACATGGATCTCTCTCTCTCTCGTGTGTGTAAAAGACGTAAATGCCCTTGTCATCCAAACATGTAATTCTTCCATTTTGCAGATGCACAGTGGTGATTTCTCTGAGAATCTTCCGGATTCATTAGACATTGGTGATGTGTCAGAAGCTGGATCATCTTCTAGTGAGGGTGGATCTCAAAAAATGAAGAAGGTGGCAGTTGGTAAGTAAAAATGAAGAAAGTTGCACAACTGATTTTTCTGTGTATATTTTTTTCATGGAATTTTTGGAAAAAGTAAGAACTGTGTTGTACAAGTAAAAGGAGCATATAGAGATGTTTTGATTGTTTTTGGTAAAAAAGAAAATGCCCATAAAATACAGATGGAAGCGGGTTTTTGATTGGTTTTGGCACATAGAACTTAGAAGTATGTGTGATTGAAAAAAAAAACCGAATTTGATGTGTGTTTGGTTATTGAATTGGGAATATTGCTCAAGTGTTTGAACATTGTTTTTTTGTTTTTACTTTTCCAATTTTTTTTTTCGAGGGTAAAATAGTCATTTTGTATGATACGCAACTAGTTTGGTGGTCTAAGTGACAAAATGATAAAGTAAAGGTGTCCAAACTTATATTTTTTTAGCCATTGTATTTTTAAAACCTTTTATTTTAGAACCAAGACAATTTGTATATGACCATCTTTAGTAAATATAATAAATCCTTCATTTTATATAGTTCTTGCATCAAACATTTTCCAATAAATACATCATTTTATGTGCTTTTTAGTGTTAAAAGTAGTAAAACACAATTTCATATGATAAAACAAGCCAGAAGAAAGCAAGGATTTGCTATTATGAAACGTTGTATATTGATGTAGCCCTTACAATCTAATTGAACAGATATTGTCTGTTTTGGGGTTGCAAAAAATGTCTTACGAATTAAGAGCAACATTGCGCTCATAATCTCTTATGTTTGTGAACGATGATGTTAGACATGAAGTACTAAAACACACTCCTATAAGGAACATATATTTTTGCCAAGGCTTTCCTATTTTCAAATTGGTCATTTTTTTTTTAATATTCTTTGAATGGTCAATTTAAAATCTCTATTTAAACTCTCAACCTTTTAGGTCATAGACATTTTCCAACATTTGATATCATTAGACCAAATGTGTTCAAATTAATCAATTAAGTGATGGGCTACCCGAAACCACCATTGATATAATTTACTCTAAAAACTATTGGCTTATATCAATTGATATCTTTCAAAGTCATGCCTACATTTTTCTCGTTTAATAATACAAATACAAACATCCCCAATAGAACTTTGTGTGTTCTCAAATTACATTTCCATACATATTATAGTTGAAACCCTAATTATTAAATTTACTTCCATCCCTTTTTTTCTTTCCATTCGCTTCCCTTCATTTCATCTTCCCTACCTTACTTATTAAACTCAAGAATAGAGTGGTAGTCTTATTGCTTTTTTCAATCTATGTCAGTTCCATTTGTTTCTCGCTACTAGTTATCTATAATATGTAATATGTTCTTAAAGGACAAACATTTCTTTTGCAGAAGACCCTTTACAAGATTTTAGTATACTATTCAATGCTAATCTTGACACCTTTATTTGCAAATGTATTGCTCGTATCTACCACCATCCTTCGGTTATTTCTTTGGGACTTATGTTTTATTTTGCTGGAGCTTTACTCACATAAGATAACCAACCTAGTGCGGGGCCGTATCGAGTCTTATCGAGTCAGGTCAAAATTCTTTTAAATACTAATGATAATGGTTTCTCATTTTATATCTCTTTACCCTTATTGAATATCATTAATATTTATAAAATTATACATATTTAAAAATTTCAAGTATTTACACCGATGCATAAATAACATGTATTCATCAAAATAATTATGTATAAATAAATAACATGTATTCATCCAAATAAGAATGTATTGCATTTTATATATGACAATTATAACTGACTGAAAATTATTTAAAATTTTAGTTGTGAGCACGTTCAACAAAGGAATAAGTTTAATTATGTAGAGCATTACTTAAAAAATGCAATAAACATAATAAATAGATAAACATATAGTAAAAAGTAAACAATAAAGTACCTGTAATTTTAATGCAAACGTAAATAAGTTAAATAAAATTAATTCTATATGAACATTGAGAAATTGCAAATTTAGCCAAAAATATTAATTACTTTGTGGAAAACAGCAAAAAAAAAAAAAAAAAAAATCAAAACTGCATTTTTAGCCACCAAAATCACAGATGGATTAAGCCCATCTGCGATTTTGGCAAGCTATCTGCAAATGTATAAGTGGCTAAAACACGGATGTGTTTTAGCCACTTGTACGTTCGCATATGGCTTTTTTTTCGCTGTATAAAAACCTCATTTCCCCCTTAAAATCGCAGATGGACTAAGGCCATCTGCGATTTCCTCTCCTTTTCAACTGCGATTTTGTGTTATTTTTTTTATTTTGACTACGAAATTGATATAGTTTGACTACGAAACAACCTTATTATATATAAATTTTTGCAAAAAATTATCAATTTAGTTGCTATTTCTTTGGAAAATTTGTTTAAAACCTCTCTAAAAAAATTATAAATTTAGTTGTTACAATATTATCAGGATTGTTCATGAAATCGTCCATAATCGCAGATGGAGTAAGAAAATCGCTTCCAAGAAAGAGTTTTTCAATAAAAAAGAGTGAAAATGAAACAAAAAAAATAAGTTTTTATAGTAGGCTAGGTTCATTTTCGCAGATGGACTGATATGTTCGCAGACGGACTAGTCCATCTGCAAACATAAACAGTCCATCTGTGAAATTGATGGCTAAAAATACAATTTTGATTTTTTTTTGCTATTTTGTACAAAATAATTAAATTTTTTGGGTAAATTTGAAATTTTTTGTAAACAAAATACACCCTTTGTAAATTTAAAGAACGAAGCTTGCATCCATCCGTGGTTAAGCAAGAGGTCAGCCGCTACTTCAGTTTCCTGCCTTTTCGAGCAAGAAAAGAGGGTTTATGCTTATGCTCGTTGTCTAATTAGGTTTATCTCAAGAAAATTCTCTGGTTAGGGTTTATGCTCACATCTAAGCCTGCGGGAAATGGGATAGAAGCTACACACACATATCAATTCAACGAACCCCCTTTACAACTTTCTGTTTCTTCGTCAAAAATCGGGTTTCCTTCTGGTTCTCGTGGTCTTACTGCATACACATTCATACCCATATCGAAGTATAATACTAAGCATGAGTTCCTTGTCAGTGAAATGCCTGTTGCAATCAAGTGATCTCTCGCTTTTGGTTCTCCAAAAATGATTTTTTTCTCAGTTTTATTGAGTATACTTCGCGCAAAGAGAAGCATCAGAAGAAATCACTTTTTATGTACATTCATGTCTCGTTCTTCATCTTCTTCTGTACAATCACTAGACATGTCAGAAGAAAACGATCACCATTGCGCAGATTATGCTGAATTGAGGAGCAATATGCAGAATTTAGCAAAGTCAAGTGGTATTACTAAAGCACTACAGGCATTCCGTCTTATGAGAACCGCTGCTCCTGGTAAGCCAACAATATACGATTACAATTCGTTGATCAATTGCTGTTTTAAATCGGAAAATTTGTGTTTACATGATCTTTCTACCCTATATTCCGAAATGAAAACACTTGGATTATCCCCAAATGCATCCACTTTCAATACTTTCTTAAAGGGACTAAATCTTATCGGGGAATCAAAAGTTGCTCTTTGGGTCACCATTGAAATGTGTAATCATGCCTTTACTCCTTCATTTACTTCTTTGTCAACTTTGCTCAAGAAATGTTCAGATTCCATGGAATTAGAAGATGCAATTACTGTTCTTGAATTGATGATGGGGTTGAATTACATTCCAACTGAACCACAAATGATTTTGTTAATTAATCGCCTAAGCAAACATGGGATGACAGAAAAGGCTACCTTAGTGCTCTATAAACTATTAGACAAAGGTTATTTTCCAAGCCCATATATATACAACCCAATAATATGGTCTTTATGTAAATCTGATCAGATTAGTATAGCTTTAGCAATCTTTTGTTCTTTAGAGAAAAAGGGTTTTGTACATAATGTCTGTTCATATACAGCTCTTTTTTACGGGTTTTGTAAAAAAAAGTTATTTAAGGAGGCTTCAAATTGTTTGAACAAAATGACAACAAATAGTCGTTTCTACCCTAATGTGAGAACTTACACCACATTCATCAAGTGTCTATGTGACAATGGAAGGATACAAGAGGCATTAAGTTTGTTAGGTCGAATGGAAAAAAGAGGACTGGATCCTGATATTGTTACATATAACATAATTCTTCGTGCTCTTTCAAACCAAAATATGGTTCATGAAGTTTTTGACCTTTTTCAAACTATCTACCAAAAGGAACTTTCACCAGATCGCTATACAGCTACTGCTTTATCGGGACTACTCAAAAAGGGTAATTTAGGAATTGCACGTACTCTTTTGCATGATATTTTCTATGGTGGAAGTGATATGGATGTTGCGGTTTATAACGTGTACTATTGTCTATTTTCTGGTTTTAAATCCAAAGAGTTGTCATATGTGATTGAATGTATGATAAAGAATGACATCGAGCCAAATAACATAACATTCAACACAATTCTAAAAGGTTTTTGTAAAGGGAAATCCATGGATGAAGCTCTAGAGTATTTTCAAAGTATCAAGAAACCCGATTTGGTGTCTTTCAACACGATTTTATCGGCTTCATGTAAAAAGGGTGATTCAAAAATGGTTGAAAAGGTGATTGATTTAATGAAAGATGAAGGTTTTAAGTTAAATGTTGTGGGGTTTACTTGTTTAATGCAATATTATTGCAATGTTGGAAAGCTTAATGATTGTTTAGATGTTTTTGAATGTATGATTTCTCAAGGTCCTCGACCCTCAATGGTGACAATTAATAGTCTTATGATTGGTCTTTGCAAGAATTGGGAACTTGAAGCAGCTTATCGAGTTTTTTGTAATTTAGAAAGTTATGGATTGTCATCGGATTCAAACACTTATAAGATTCTTATGCGTGCTGCTAAGATTGAAGGAAATGATTTGTTGGTGGAGGAATTACAAAGGAAATGTAGGGAGGAAGGTGTGAAGCCGAATAATTGAATAAAAAAAATGGTTTGATCTTAAAGAAATGATTACAAATGGGTTCCAATGTGGATTGGGGTCTTATGTATCTGATTTACATCTCACATGATTGATCTGAGGGCATGGTGGTGTGGGCCAGCTCAGGGTTTGCTAGAAGAATAATCTTTTTTACAGAGCAATTTTCTTACCAAAGGGCACTGCGAATGGACAAGCTTTCTAAGGCTATTTTCAATTATGAGGGTATTCACGTCTTTTTCACAATCTTTTCATCGATGGGACAACAAATTGCATTTATTGTCACATTGACCACTTTTTGGGCGGGACATTGACACCATTCCCTATTCCACTTTTTTGCATGAGACAAAAAATGACAACTTTTGTCATGTTGTCATTTTCCACTTTTTTTTGGGTGGGACAAAAGGCCGCATTTTTTGTCCCATTGACATCATTTGTGGTCCCATCTTGTTCCACTTTTTGGGTGGAACAATAAATTTGCAATTTTTGTCCCATTGACATCAGTCTGAGTCCTCGTCTGACTTGAGGAGTTCTGTACAGGTGGCAATTCCATCTCTAGCAACCAAACAGTGAGTATGACACACACGGGCATCTATTTTCAGGTGATGTTAATACCTCTTGGAATTAATATGACAACTTGCGGGAAATCAAACCAAAACTTAATCGATTTGCTTTGTGAATAAAAACACATATATGTTTTTTTTTTTTTTTTTAATTTTTTTTTACATATGGTTCATTTTTATGGCAGGCTAAAAGTGTTCCCATATCTAGTCAAGTGGCATCATCTTGATTGGTGATAAGAGTAAAGCTGAATGCTGGAAGAAGGTAAATGTCTCGTCATATAATTTTGTAGCAGGGATAAATGTAAGAAATATCAACATACTTGTATTTATTTGTTTATTATAACATTCTACTTTCCTTTCTTTTCTATTACAACACGTTGATTTTCATTTTTTGTTTTCTAATTAAGGAATTGTACTTTCAAGTCTGCTTTATCCTTTTAAATTCTGCCTTCTTGGGCCAAAAATCAGATTTTGTATACAAGACAATTGAAATGTGTTGAGTGGGGATAATGGAAAATTAAAAAAAAAAACAAAAAAATAAAAACATCAGGACACCTTTGTTCAAGTCTTGGAACTTACATTCCAAAGGATTACAATATTTCAAATCCCTTAAAATCACTTTGTTTGCTCAAAACAACCGACCATAATACCTTAAGAACATGATGAAAATATGTTTGATCAAATGATATAACAACTTAGACCAAAAAACAACAAAATTGTAAATAATATCAAAACAACTAACCATCATCCTCTTTTCTCATAAGAAACATAAATTTAACAAAACTCAAAATGCTACCTGCCTCTTCTAAAAATCTTAACCTATTTCTGAGTCATTAGTTATTGGTTTAATTGCTTTTTTCGTTCTAATCAATGGTATATAATACTGATATGAAGTTATGGACCATGATTCATAACAAGGTTGATTCATACTTAGGCAATCGCATTCAAATTTATCTAATAATTTCTACAACTTATTCAATGTGTCAGCCGCTCATATTTTTAACAAATTGTTGCATCAATATTACAATACTTTCTTCAAATTTATCTAAATAATATCTACAATTTATTCAGTTGTTATATATACTAGCTGTTTAATCGTGCTAAGCGACGGGTGAGAATAATTTCTTTCAGAAATTAGTTTCTAGAGGCGATTGATTTTTTGCGCTTATAGTTTACTACATCTAAATAATTATTAATAAGAGTCCTAGCAAATACGAAATCAATAAGAAAAAAAATAAAGAGTTAGGATTGTTTACAAATATGTACGAACATATGATTAATTGTATATTATTAATCGTCTAATATTTCTTTATAGACAACACACTCTATCATTATATATATATATATATATATATATATATATATATATTGTACATTGTTATTTTGTATAGAAAAAATAGTATTTTGTTGGTTACAGTAAAAGAAAATAAAACCACATTGTTGGTTTTTCGTTAAAAATAAGCTTTGTTATTGTTTTGAATTCAAAATAAAATTATGTTGATGTTTTACAAAAATGCTCTCTATATTTCATTATGAATCTGTAGAAAAAAAGTGGTGGGTTGGTGGTGATGATAGTTTGGTTAAATGTTACACTAAGTTGCTTTATTGGGTTAAAAATATAAGTACGGGTATTTTTTGGTTTAAAAATGCAAGTGTTTCTTATTCAGGGTAAATGGAAAGTACATAATTTTCAGTAAAAAATAAAAACATGTTGTTTTTTTAGGTTAAAAATATAAATATGTTGATCTTTTAGTTTAAAGATATAAGTATGTTATACAACAACTTACTCTTTTCGATTAAAGTTTAACTAAAATTTTAATTTAAGATAACTATTTAACATTATATTGAAATTAATAATTTAACTATTTTGCAAAAATCATAAACTATACAAAAGTTGTGACTTTAAAATGACAATTATTCACATACCACAATATATCTAAACTAATAAGTTAACTATAATATGTTAACAAGTTAATGTCATAATTTTATTTATAGAAGTAAAATATGATATTTTAATATCCTAGCTTAGTTAATTTATGATAATAATTTAGTTTTTTCATGAGTTTAACATTATTAAACAATTTATAATAATTATTAGAAAGAAATTGAATGCATGTGGCTCAAGTAAAAAATGTCTCTTTTATAAGTAGAAGTAAATATATTAATTTAATATTGAAATTTAGTTTATATATGATTATACTTTAGGTTTGATATTTATTTAACCGATAATTTAGTTTTTATTCTTTTGCAAATTTAGTTGAGTTTATCGATCCAATCCGAAAATTGATTTCGAGAAAAACAATTCAAAATTACAGTAATAATCTGACCCAACTCAATTCTAAAGCAATCAAAGAAGAGATTACCTGATTGAGGAGTATAAATTAAACTACTCATCGATCGAATTCAGCTCATAGATCGCCATCGGGAGATTATTTAATTATAAATTAGTTAGAAAATTTTACAAAAAGGGGGCATAAAGAGCATATCTTTTCGTTCTTTATTAACATAATACCATTTCGTTATGCTGCAAAGAGAGAAGAGGAGAAAGAGGTGAGGAATTCATCAACATAAACATGAAGATTCTAGAGTGAGAGAAAAAGAGTAAGGGAAGAGAGGTGTCTTCTACGGATCATCTGTTTGAGCACACCATTTTTTGGAGTATGCACCCTCCATGGCACAACATCCAAAAACATAAATACGATATAAATTAAGGTTATCATATTTGTACAAAACAAATGTCCACAACTAACTACACATATAATCATACCAGACGCGATATGCAGAAACATCTATATAGTTAAAGTCTTTACAAATATATATATATATATATATATATATATATATATATATATATATATATATATATATATTAAATATAGCAATAACGTTGTTGCTAAATTTGATATAATAATTTGTATACTAATTTGATGTATAATATACTGATTATTTTGAATTATATATTTTATATGCATCTATTATAACTGCATAATCTCAATCGTTTGAATGACTTCTATCCGCGAGTTACACATGAATAAATATAAATATAATATATGGTTTAATGTTATTTATAGTTGTTGTTATTGTTAATTAATTTTTAAATATTTATTTGCTTAATGTTTTAATTTCTATCATTATAATTATTAAAAACATCAAACATTGTTTTTTGATTTTAAAGGCAATAATATAATCATTTATATAGGGTTATTTTTAACTATTGTTATTGTAAGTTATTTTAAGCTACTTATTTGAAAACTTGTAACGATTATAAAAATATCTTTAGGAAATATTTTAGTTAAATTGAGATTACAATTTAGTTTTTGCATTTATCACTATAATTTATCACCTTTAACTGTTTACAAAATATTCTTTGGTTTTTTAAGTGAAATTGAAATTTATATTTAAGTTGACATTGTAATGTTATATTTAAATTAACAGTTTAAGTATTTTGTCCAAACTGTTTAAAAGTTGTAGCTTTAAACGGATAATGGTTTACATACAACAACATATTAAATCTAATAAATTGAGTATAATATGTTAAAGTTAAACACATAACTTTATAAGTAGAAGTAACGATATTATTTTAAAATTGAAATTTAGTATATTTATGATTACACTTTAGGTTTCATATTTATTTAACCTTATTAACCAACTTATAATCATTATTAGAAAGACACTATAATTAATCACTTTTAACTATTTACAAAATATTCTTTAGGTTGGTTAAGTTAAACTAAAATTTATATTTAAGTTGACCCTGTAATGTTATATTCAAATTAATAATTTAAATATTTTATACAAATTGTTCCAAAATTGTATCTTTAAAATGATAATAGTTTACATCCAACAATATATTAAAATTAATAAATTAAATATAATATGTTAAAAGTTAAAAAACATAACTTTATAAGTAGAAGTAAATATATTCTTTTGATATTGAAATTTAGTTTATATATGATTACACTTTAGGTTTGATATTTGTTTAACCTTATTAACAACCTTATAATTATTGTTAGAAACAAACTGAAAAATCATGGGAGTTTTAAATGAATGTGGTGAAAGGAAAAATGAATGAGAGTTTCAAATGAGTGTGGTGAAAGGAAAACTACTTCCTTTATATGTTTTTTTTTAATATAGCAATATCGTTGTTGTTAAATTTGATATAATAGTTCGTATACTAAATTGATATAATATATTCATTATTTTGAATTATATGATAATATATATACATCTATTATAACTGCATAATCTCAATTGTTTGAATGACTTCTACCGCGAGTGACACATGAATAAAATTAAATATAATATATGGTTTAATGTTATTTATAGTTGTTGTTATTATTAATTAATTTTTTAAAATTTATTTTCTTGATGTTTTATATTCTATCATTATAATTATTTAAAACATCAAACATTCTGATTTTAAATGTAATAATATAATCA